GGATGGACAAACCTGCTGACCCCGCACACTCCCGGGCACTGCTGCTCAGGTTAGGGTCTGCAGAGACAGAGCCTGTGTCAGAGAGGCCCGTAGCGGAGGTGCGGTCATAGTGGCAGCCTCGGAAGGCCGTGGCCAGGAAGGAGCTGCAGTCATGGGAAATCTTCAAAAGTGCTGAAGCTTACGTCCACCTACATTGAGTTCCCATGAGCCCTTGGACCAGGCTAAGTTTAAATCCCAGGCAGCCTTTGGTACGGTAAAGATTTGCATCACACAAATCTCTGTAGCCAGCCAGTGATGCGATGCGGGAAATATCAGGCAAACGCAATCGTGTGTGTGTGTGCACACTGTTGTGTGTGGGTTGGTCTGAGAAATTACCAGAGTTGCCTGCAGGTCAGGAAGGACACGTGTGGCAGAAGCAAGAGACTTAGCAACAGTGGCAGCTTTGAGGACTGCACAGTCGCTCACTCCAAGCACACCTGCCGGGAAATCAGAGGCAGCTGAAGAGCGTCACACTCAGCTTGGGCTGCCAGGGCACAGCACCGCGGGCTGGGTAGCGACAGTACTCATTTTCCCAGTTCTGAAGACTGCACATCCAAGGCCACAGTGCTGTTTGGTGTCTCCTGGACCCTTTGTGGTCCTCCCTCTGTGCACACACGCTCCGGTTTCTTTCCCTTCTCATGACACCAGCTATGTTGCCTTCACATCAATGGCTTCATTTTAATATAACTACCTCTTTAAAGGGCAAAAACAGTTACATTCCGAGGTACTGGGAGGTAGGATCCAGCACATGGACTTGGAGATTTGGAGACAAGCGTCAGTGCATATGTATGAGGTTTAAGAAATTGTACCGATTGTGGTGAGTAATGCTAGCATTTACAACCAATAAATTCTAAAGTCTTAGGGCTTAAAACAATAAATGAATTATTTCTTACATGAAAGTCCATTTCGATCAGCTAGAGGTTGTGAGACAGCTGTGTGGGGTACAGTCACTCAGGGACTTAGCTGCCACCTGCAGCACATGCTGTGTCTAGGGACCCTTGGGAGTGAAAAGTCAGGAGGAAAGGGCAGGGGAAGGCACAGCTCTCAATGGCTTGAAGTCATGGATCACTTCCATTCTCACACCCCTGCCTAGATCAAAGAGGCCTGGGAAAGGTGGTTTTCTATGGCACCTGGGATTTGGGGGCAGATTTATTCAACATTGGATGGGCACTGATGAGGAATCAATCTTTATAAAAATATCAGGCCTGAAAGGCCCAGGGAAGGAAGTTTTTATGGGGTCTGCAAGGGGAAGTACAGAGGAAGAGAACTTGGCTGTCTTTGATTGGTTCTTACAAGGTGCATCACAGGGACCAGCTGTGCATCACAATGACCAGCTGCTTCTAAGAAACAGAAGTAACCAGGAACTGTAACAGGAACTGTTACCTGGGCAACTGACAGACACTGAAGTATACTGGCTGGGGGTGGGGGTGGGGCATTTTCTGCTACAGTTTGTTTTTAAACCCAGGAAAGAGAAGCGGGTTTGCTGAGCATCTAGTTAGTCTTTCCAGAAATGAGGTAAGCTTGATGAGTCTTGCCTTACAGATGAGCCAGCTTTCAGGGGAACTAGTTGCCAGGCACTAGAGAGCCAGGCAAACACGGGGCAGATAAGGGTGTTTGGCATCTGTTGACGTTCACAAAGCCATGATGAATCTTGGTCTGGAGTGGGACTCCTCAGGCTTTTTCATGTTAGGAGACACATGGAAAGGATAATTCTTGTTTGTGCATTAGACTCTGAGGCTATTCAAGGCCAGCGGTCATGAGGCAGGAGACCCCTCCACTCTAGGTGGCTGCCTGCCCACGGTGAAGGTGGGGCATCACATATTGGCTGCCTGTTGGTAACATACTAGTGTGCTCCTGCCACCGCAAGGAAAAACAGAGAGGGAAATTAGGTCCTGTCAATCCAGGGGAAGCAGAATTGCCTGGGAGGACTCTGTGATGATACGGTGCTGCAACCACAGGCTCTCCCCGGCCATCCGTGTGGGAAGGCCCCTCTGGGGAGCAGGACTTGTGAACTGAGCTGTCAGTTGTGTGAGATTTGGAGCACTCTGTCTCCTCTCTCCGTATAATTAGTTGGAAAAGAATTACGAAGGGAATCCAGACCATGAACATTAACGTCCATCAGAAGACACAGTGCAGGAGAAGGAGAAAGGGTGCAGTTTCTTGAACATTTAACGTAAGTTCAAGACTGTAAAATGTATGCGCAGTTTAAATGTTATTTACTTTGATTTAACAAATATTTAGCCTCATCTATAAATAACTCAGCTAATGCTTACAAATTATAGAAAATGTAGCTGGAGCACAGAAGTGGCAAAGAGGTTGAAAACTCATATGCTTTAACAGACCTCCCCTTAGAAAAGCCAGCCACAGCCCTGAGATCATCGTGCCACCAGAAAATCTTTTATTACATTTTGAGACAGGGTCTCACTAAATTGCTCAGTTGCTCCTGCTGGGTTCAAACTCATGATTCTCCTGCTTTAGCCTCCCAGGATGTTGGGATTAAGATGGGGCCCCCCCCATCCAGCTGCCATCAGAAAATCTTTCTGATGTGATTAGCCCTGGACATCTTAAATAAAAATGCCAGATAGCATTTAAATCTAATTTATGGTATACTTTGAAATTAAATGGTATTTTTACCAAAAACCAGCTCTCTCACAGAAATTGTTCTTACTTTCTATGAAGTTATGAGAAATAAATTGGAGAAATCTTGTATTAAGATTTTAAAAGCAAGCAAATAAATTCCAGGAAAAAATCCAGATTTTTTGTCATCTCCTTTCTCCATTTTCATCAAATATGGGAACATTTAACCACACAGGAAGAAGTTGGTGGACTTGGAAAGTTGCTAAATTCTCTTATTTGAACCAATCTACATTAAACACAAGCTGCTGTTTTATTAACAAGTGAAGGATAAACATAACTTATGCTGAATGACTATGGAGGAGCAGTCGTTTGGTATAGCCCAGGAATCCTTGAAAAAAAGAAATAAGTGATTTCAACAGAAATCTAAGGAGAGGATTTCCTGAGCATGGAGAGACCAAACTATTCCTGTATCAAGTTCTTGTCACCCAAAAAATCCAGCCTGAACATATCACTGGCTCCTAGATCTAACGAGGGGTGTGTAAGACAATTTTAGATGATATAAAGACAAACAATTTTAGTAGGATGTATTTAAACCAATGCATGTCAACAAAAATACTTCAGCATGGTGAACATGATTTCATCAACAGTATTGCCTGGAATGAGAGTGGAATGAATATTTAAACTATAAGGGAGGGAATTAAAGTTGAGTGCAGTCCGTTCTCACTTTGCACAGATTCTGTACTAACTACAAGGATGTGCTCTCCCAAAGCCAGTGCTTACCGCCTTTATGGCCACATACAGAGCAACGAAAATACTCAGACTGTCCCTCGCATTCGTTGCCAGCTGAAGTGCAAGGAGGCAGCGCCTTATCTGCTCTTTTCAGCTCTCATCCTGCACATAAATGTGTAAAAACAGACTATTTAGTGCCGCTTTTTCCCTTCGCTCTCTTACGCCAGTTGTTGGTGCTTCTGCCATTGAAGATGGCCTCAAGTGTAGTGTTGAGGCGCTGGCTGCTCTTCCTTGGCAGAAGAGGCAGTGCTTTGCCCTATGGAAAAGGTACATATTGGAGAATCTTCATTCAAGCATGCAGCATGGTGCTGATGGTCATGCGTTCAACTCTAGCGAGTCAATAATATGTACTAAGTAACGTGTCTTTAAACAGAAATGCACGTAAAGTCATATATTGACTGGCTGACAAAAATGTTGTGGCCAGAGGCTTAAAGAAACCTAGCCTTGTATTCTCCTAGGAGTGATAGTTCAATATTCACTAATTCAAGATTTGCAGAGATTTCATAAACGCAATTACCTCGAGCGAGCACTGACCCTGGACGGTGCAGGTGGTCACGGTAGACACAGATGTGCCTTCCCAATCTCCCAAGGAGGGCTTGCTGTCCAGATGTGGGCACAGAGCCCAGTAGACAACCTCAGCTGCGGAGGTCCAGGCCACCCAAGGTCATGCCCTTCTCTGGCCTTGGGCCCTCCAATGGCGTCTAGACCTTCTCTCCTGCTCCTGCCCCTCCACCCTCTCCGCTGTGTTCACTGGAGCCGTGTTGGGCCAGGCTGCAGTTTGACGTCTCCCTCTGCCCGGTTCTGCCGCTTGCTGTTCCTCGCGCAGTGCTGGCCCTAAGGAACACCTACGTCTCAACCTTCATTTCAGCTTCAGAGTCCAAGACAGCCAATCTGCTGAGGTCATTTACAGATGTGGCGAAACACAGGGAAACATCGTGCTGAACCCCCTCTTCCTTCTCCTGCCCTGCAGAGACGTTCCTCTCCCGTGGCCCCTCCCTGGTCCTCGGCCCTTGTCTCTATGCCCGTGCAGACACCCAGCCCAGCCCACAAACTCTGAAGTCTGGAAGAGACGAACTGAATCCTGCTTATGCTTCGCTCACACAGCCACGGGTCTGGGAAAGGGGGTGTGCTGTTTGGGAGAAAGGGTGCCTGCTCTCGACCTCCCAGCAGCCGTATGGCTAGAACCTCTCCCCTCTCCTGATGCCCCTATGGCCTCGTGTCCCCTCGTCCTGTGCCGGCTCCCTGGGGTTCAGCCTCCCGAGCAGAGCTGACTTTTGCCTGAGCGCCTTCCATTGTTCAGGTTTCTCCCTCGGGGCCTCTGCTTCCTGCCTCCTCCAGGAGGAGAGCGCAGGAGCTGAAGACAAAATCACTTCCATTCCTTCTCTTCAGAGACAGCTTGTACCAGAAAGCACCTGCTAGAGATACTCTCATCCTATTCCCTCCTCACCTCCCTAAATCATACGTGTGCTCTGCATGCTAAAAAATGACCGTGTCATGTCTCACTGGGAGGTACTTCCAAACGGCCGGGAGAAATTTATAAAAACAATAGCTAATGTAGTGGGATTAACTACATGTCAAACACTTCGCTAAGTGCTTTATATATTTTATTTCATTTAATCCTCGTAACAACCTGAAGAGGTTGGTATTAATAGTCCCATTTGGCAAGTGAGGAAATGCAGGCTCAGGGAGGTGAAGGAATTTGGCTTGCACCTGGGAGTCAGCAGAGTGCGGTTTCACACGGGCTGTGTCCGCGTCCGGAGCTGGTGTGAGGACTGTCACGGCGTGGGTTAGAGACCCTGCGCGGCCTGGAGCACACGGTCCTGAGCCAGAAACAGCAGGACGGACAGCAAGAGCAAGCAGACACACGGCAACCCTTGCAGTGAAGGGAGGAGGGTGCTTTCCTTTCTCCTGTAAAGGATTCAACTCCAGCCCCGGATGGAACTGGGATGGAGATCTGAGCATGAGAGGTTGGCTGGCTTCATGTTAACCATGTGTCTAGTAGTTTGTCATCCTTTAAAGACCATTTCCTCTGCACCTGCACCCAAAAATGCATCCAGGGTCCGACGTTTTCAGGAAGAATTATACAGAGCCCCTGTTTCGCTCCTCTCCCCCGCCCCTCCCACATGCAGTCAGGCAGTTTGTGGAGAGCGGCTAGGGCTGCGGGTGGGGCTGGGGATGAGGAGACATGAGACCCATCACTCCCTGACCATTGGGCTTCCTGACATTCCAGGGTAGGAGGTGGAACAAATGATTGAAAGGAGATTAAAGGCTGAACTACGGATTCAGTTGTAATTTATGTTGCTTCATCCAGGAGATCCATGAAAATGGGCCGTTTTGGGGGGATCACTGCTGGAATGTGTCGTCACTCTTTAAAGAGTCTTCAGAAAGACATTAAGTCTGATGTCCAGATTCTCAGGGCCAAGCCTTGTGATGGTGATGGGCGAGATTATTTCTCTGTTCTATTTCTCCAATGTTCGGCAAGAGAAATAATTTCTGTGAATAAACTGACTTATTCTTAAGTGAATAGTCTGATTGATTAGTCCATCAATTAAAGACCAAAACATGGACATCAATGGCATCCAAGCCTGAACCAGATGCCCAGCTTTCTATTTACCCATCCAGTGTGCTAGGTGCTAGAGCTCTGGGCCTTTTCCTTACAGAATCTGGGGCCCATGAGATTTGGCTTGTTGAGCCAGCTTTCAGGTCATCTCCCTAGCACACTCAGCCCTAAAGAATCGCCTTCACTCTCAAGGGTCTTTGGAACGCACTTCTTCCTATGTAAAAGAAGAGTCAGCAAGGGCAGCAAAGTCGGAAGTTATCTCTAAGATTTCTGCCGGCGAGGCTGACTGCGGGCTGCACAGTTAGACAGATCTGGATGAAGCCTTGCCTCGAGTGCTTGTTCACTGTTAAAGTTGGACACGTTACTCGGCTCCTGAGACTCAGTTCGCAACCTAGAAAGCAAGTTCTAGACTTAGTTCTCAACCTAGAAATGCTTCATTTCACTCTTATGATTATACGTGATGTCCTTCAGCACGGAGAGGCATTCAACATAAAACAGTTAATGTGACTAAAAGAGAAATTCAACATACAGTCACAAATTCTCATCTAGAATCCTGAAGAAACCAGGAGGCAAAAGAAGCTGTGTGTGAAAGGCCACATGTTCTATAAGCCTGTTTGCATGAAATGTCAAGAATAAGCAAATCCGTAGGGACAGAATTTGATTAGCAGTTGCCCAGGGCTGGAGGGTGGAGGACTGGGATTGAGTGTAGTGAGGATGGCATTTATTTCAAGGTGATGAAAATGTCCTGTAAATATGTATTAGTGATGGTTGTACCCATTTATAGATATACCAAAACCACTGGATTGTACACAATTAAAAGGATGAGTTTTATGTTTGTGAATTATATGTTTTTAAAAAGTTAAGAAAAAAAAAAAGAGAGAGAAATCCATTATGCAACTAAAGCCATGAACTTTGGAGCTGACTTGTTTCATGGAGTCTCTCTACCTCTCCAGTCCTGGAAGAAGAATTAAATGTCATCTCACTGGAAGTCTGTGTCTCTTTCTAGGTAAATCATTTGTTCTATGGAGACTGTGCCATAAATGTCAGCCAGTCGCAGTTTTGGCGTTTGTGAGGATCAGTATCAGTTCTCCTCCCACCCTGCGTGAGGCTGCCGAGCAGCTTGGATTTATGGGCATGGATAGCCAGCCTACCATCCCTAAACCAGGGGTTTCTCTGCATCTCAGCTCATCTGGGAGATGTTCCAGGTGGCAAGTGAGCTGTTTTCCCTCCATTCAGAATGGAAACACAGAGGCAGAGGACGGAAATAAAAGTCTGTTGGACTGACTGAATATTTTCTCATCTCATAGCCACTGGTCCTCACTGAAGATGTGTGTGTGTGTGTGTGTGTGTGTGTGTGTGTGTGTGTGGTGGGGTGATGAGCAACAGGGCCCTGCTGAAAGGCGGGGAAGTATGTTGCAAAACTGGAGTGGAGTAATTCTGGAATTCCACTGAAGCCCATTCCATGCTTCCAAAGAATGATTGAAAAAATGCGGTGTTTGTCGGATCCACATCTCAGACCAGGCTGTCAGTACCGCTTGGGGACTTCTTTTAACGGGAAGGAGGTTGCAAGATTTTGATAAAAAATTATTTCTTCGCTGTTTGAAATGTCCGTGTAGATTTGTGGCCTTTCATTTTGCTTTAAAATATGATTAAATATGCTTTTAAAAAAATCAAAGACTTCTTTCTGGGTTTGAATTTCTTCCAGATTTCTTGCTGGTTAATATTATACATGCCATGCTGATATTTTTCTTTGTTCAGTAATGTCAACTGAGATTCTTTCAAAGAAAAAAGGGTTTCTAAAGAGTGGATTCTTTTATCTCCTTCATTAAGACATGAAGAATGTATCAAAGTCCCTATCAGGAACACTTTATTCTAAGAAAAAGAACTCTACTGTAACTGCTAGGTGGAGCAGAGAGACCATGGGAGGAGCTGAGAGACAGCTTAGGGAAGACAGAACACTGAAATGAAGGAAAACAGCAGTAAGTTCTGCTCGCCCCACTTGGACACACCGGGCTCATTTTGGACACGTTTTTACAGAGCTGCGCTGTATGACTTAGGGCCAGAGGTGCTGAACGGGGTGCTGTGTACCAAAAGTCATCCGGAGGCTGGACCGGGGGAGGAGCAGCACACCCTCCGGGATGACCGAGTACCTGACAAGCGGCCGGCAAGGTCAGCTACTACATAGTGATGGTTCACCGCGTCCAGGCACGCGGGTGGGAATTTCTTCATTCCTCTCGAAGCCCAGTGAGGTCATTGTGGTTGAGTCCACTTAACAGATGGAGAAACTGATGAATTGGGAGAGGGTACATAACTGGGCCCAAGTTCAAGCCACTGGGGTATAGGGTACCTAAAACCGAACTGGATTAGTTTGACGCACGCTTTTAACCGTGCCAAAAAACCTTGCAGTCTTGAAACTGGGTTAACATCCTGTTTCCAGAACCTTCTACTGCTTAGTTTCCCTGTTATTAGAGCTGGTCTCTGGTAAGCTCTGCCCCACAAGGCCTTCCACTCGCGGGAGCCACAGTCAGCAGGGGAGAAGGGAGAGTCATTCCAGGTGCTTGCTTTCACACTCCGAGGGACCGAGTTCTCCACCCGTCCTGCACCGCCCGGCCCCTAACTTCGCAGCTGCTACTGCACCCAGCAGCTCAGCGTTTTGCCGCACAACTTCCAAGGCTGCTCTCTGGCCTCCCAGCCTGCTCAGACAGAGGGAGCCATGGAAGAGCGCTGGGCGGGAGCAGCCGGGGTAAAGCAGGGAGGCAGCTGCGGGGCTCCAGGCCGGGGCAGGCGGCGCGTGGACAGTGAAGGTCTCCCCCGGCTGGGAGGCACCTGCTGCCCTGACTGATGTGGGGTCACGGCAGCAGCAGGAAGAGGAAGCCGTTTGTGGGCGCTGTTAGGTTTGGAGGACAGTGTAGGGGAGTCGAGGACGGGAAAATGAGAGGGAGAGACCAGGACCATGATGCGGCCTCACCATGAACCCTGACTGCGCTGCGCTGCCTGCAGCCCTTGCTGGGGGCCACATCGCCCACCTGCCCTCAACCCCGCACCTGGCAACGGGGCAGCAGGGGGGGCAAGGAGAAGCAGCTCTGCCCCGAAAAAGGACCCAGGCTTCCCCACATCCCAGAGGTGGCTCGAGCCCTGGCATGCCGTTTCGTTTCGATGAGACCGTCCTGCTGAGTTGGGTGTGTGTGTGTGTGTGTGTGTGTGTGTGTGTGTGTGTGTGTGTGTACTTACATGATTTTAATGCCAGGCTTAAGGTTTCTCGATGGTTTAAAGTCTTGAAAAGAATCTCCTCCCCAGCCCAGGGACAGTCTCGTGTGGTTGCTGAGAAAGATGAAGAGTTTAATAACTGAAAATGAAGTCACATATAGAGAGAAAGCAAACTCAGGGCGCAGGCCGGGAAAGACAAAGCAGTGGAGCAGGTGGCTTCAAGATTCTGTCCCTCAGAGGTGAGTTAGGGACACTGCTCTTGAACCTTTACACAGACTTGTACCATTGGAGGACAGGGTATTTAGATTATCCAGATGGTGGTAAAAATGCAAAAACAAGTAAATGTCAACAGCTGGGTATTTTCTGCCGCCAATTTACCTTAATCTCTAACAAAAAAGTGCCTGCTCCCACTGATAAACTCCACTGGATTTTAGGCAACTATATCTTTAAAGCAAAAGATGAAAAAATACAAATATTTATTAAGTCACCTGGCTTTTGGAGAGACCTTGAAATTTAATTCCATTAATCCTCTACACTAACAGTTGTCTAAAGGCAATCTAATGTAAGCCACCAATGCAACTGAAAATTTTCCAGTAGAAAGGTTAAAAAATTAAAAAGATTGTGGAGATAGGAAGAGGATCTGGAGGAAGGCACAGAGGAGAAGGGAAGGTAGAAATGATTCAGATTTGATATGTGTGTGTCCCAGTTCCCCAAGGTGAATGTAATGACCGTATATCACACACTAATAAAAAAGAAATTGAAAGAAATAAACGAGATTACAAATATATTTTATCTAACTCAGTATATCCTAAACATTACCATTTCAATATGTGGTCAGTATAAAAATTTATTAATAGGATAGTTTATATTCCTTAGTACATACTAAGTTTTTGAAATCTAGGATATATTTTATCTTTACAGCACATCCTAATTCAGTGTAGCTACATTTCACACATCAATAGTGGCATATGGCTGGCGGCTACTGCGTCAAACATCACAACTCTAAACAACCATCAGAGAATCAGGTGCAAGAGAAACGGAAGTCATTGGAAAACAGGAAACTCCTACTTACTGAGCACCTCTGCGAAAGCGGGTGGGCTGTCATGACTTGTACTCCTCACCACAGTCCTCCATACAGACGCCATCATACACCACTCTGTGAACAGGGAACGGAGACTTGGAGAGGTCAGAATTCGGGCACTGCCTGTGCTTCTCTTAGCTCACGATGTTGCTTCCTTCGATGGTAAAAACTGCCAATTATCACCCGCCAGGTTCTTAATGCACGTCAAGACATTCAGTCAAACAAGACATAAGAAGAGCTAGAAAGTCACTAAGCAGTAAATGCTCCAAAAAGCAACAAGAAAGGGGAAGTCAAAGCAAACTCCAATTGTTTATTAAATCATAGGTGTTAACCGGCCTGAGAGTGAGCTTCACTGAGCGTCTTTCTTGTAAAGTAAGCACTATGAGGGGAAGCACAAGGGACGTGAGATCCCAGTCCTGACCCTCTGTGCGCCCACTCCCCGGCGCTCCTCCTTTTCCCCAGGGGAGATCGTCTGTCTCTGACATGCCCTTTCCAGTCATTACTTTCTCATGCTGCAAGGCCTTGCTTGCATGTCACTTCCTACGGGAAGATCTCCCAGACACTCCAGGTGGAGCAGATCAGTTCATCCTTTGTGCTTTCACAGCACTTTGTTTATCTCTGTGTTGGAGCAGTTATTACACATTTGTTCCCATGTCCCCAAGCGCAGGGGCTCCCAGAGGCAAGGAGATTGCCAAGTTCAAATTTGCTAGCAAGTGTCGGACTCAGTTTCCAGCTAGGATCACCTGGCCCTGAAACTCCAGGTAAAGATGAATTCAAATCCTAGATGATGGAATTCCTGGATTATGAAAACCTACAAGTTCTCTCCAGATTCTGGAAGAAGTTCTTCTGGACTTATGGTTAATTCTGTCCCCATGTCTCACTGTTGTCAAAATTTCCTTTGCTGTTTCTTCAATTCTGCTTTAGCTTTAGCCACCACATAAGTTCTCTTTGACTGTCCCCTTCCCTAGAACAACCAACGAACAAGGCATTTTGCTGAAGACCAAGAAGTCCCAGAGAAAGGGATGTACTACAGTGCACACAACCTGAAATCAAGAATTACATCTTTCTGCAACCCTGCTGCCCTTTGCCCCGTGTTACCTACGTGTCTCACCAGTGCTTCTCTCTTCGGCCCTTCTTCCACCTGCCAGAGCCCAAACCCAACACTCCTTCCATTTTCTAATGAAGAAGGCAGGCGCCTCTTTTCCTCTCTGCTTAAATTCCACTAAATATTGGAGTTCTCAGGGATTCTCCAACCCAGTTACTTAGCAAATAAATAAATAAATATTCCCAAGCAATAACTTCACTTTTATCTAGAGCAGAGGTCAGCAAACTTTTTCTGTAAAGGGCCAGATAGTGAATGATTTAGACTTTGTAGGCCATAAGATCTTTGTCCCAGGTACACCCTGCTGTCACTGAATTCAATCCATAAATTGAGCGTGGCTATGTGTCCATAAATACATATTTATCTATAAATCAGGAAGGATGGGGAGGTAGGACCGAGCCCTGGGTCACAGTTTTCCCATGAGCTGGATTCAACCCAAGGATGTTAGTTGCTGGTTGCTGATCTAGAGAATAAATGAACAGACTCTCCCTGCCCTGCCCTTCTGGGGAGTATTGGAGTGGCCGGGAGGATCTCTTTTTGGATAGTGAAGCTCCTATGTTATAAAGACAGCAGTTGTCAAGGACAGGCGTCAACAACCAGTAGCTGCAGGGCAAATCCATGAGTTGTTTTTATAAATAAAGTTTTATTAGAGTGAAGCCTCTCCTATTCATTGCCTGTCTGCCTGGCCATAGAGATTCAACAGAGGCTCCTTGTTTCCTTCTAAACTGGAAATCTTTTCTGGCTGCTCCCATCAGGGATAAAATTTGCTAATCCCTGATCTAGGGCGTTTGCAATATGGGGTTCAGATGAACGTGGATTTTGGAGCCAAATCCAATCATCAGCCTGTCACTTTCTAAGTGTGGTCTTGGACTGGCTTCCTCACCTCTTAGAATCTAGATTTCCTGCTGTCAACTAGGGTTAATGGGACTCTTTCAAAACTATGTGACTATTCAAGGAGACAGCAAGCAAAACACTCATTACAGTGCCCAGCGCACACAAAGTCATTGTTCTCCTTTCTCCTAATTTTTCTTCATATAGCAACGCTTATAAAATAATATCGCACTCAGTTGGGTTTAACTATTTAAGCAATTCCCGTGCAATGGCAATTATAGTTTATATACCATTAAGGCAGGGAAACTATCACACATAAAGGATTTAGGGTTTTTTTAAAAAGTGAGCTTCAAGCAGCACTGCTAAGTTTACACGTTGCTCTTTTGTTTACAAGTGTCATAAAACCAAGGCAAAGTGGCTTTTGGATAAGCAACATTTATTTGTTCACATGACTAAAAATTCCTGGATTGAATCTCTGTCCATGGTGGGTCCAGACCCTCAGCGTCACGGGGAATTTGCCATCTCTTGTTCTTCCTTCTGGAACAGCCTTCTCATGAGGGGTTTCATTCTCAGATAACTATCTCCCCTCAAGCAGCTGCAAAGTTAGGGCTTAGCACAAGAGTTCATAAACTGCAGCCCCTGGGCCAACTCCCAGCTAAGTCCTGTTTTTATACAGTGTGTGGGTTAAGGAAAAGTTTTACACTTCGAAGGGACTGTAAAAAATTCAGAGAAGACTATACAGCAAAAGAAATGGATGATTGCAAAGCTGAAAATAATTATCTGGCCCTTTACAGAAAATATGCTTCCTGACATGACAAGTCCAGTGCAGAAAGATTTATTTTGTTGTTGTTTCCCCTCAAAGACCCAAGATGGTTTTCCTGGGACCTTGTTGTTTTCCTGAACTGCCTTCTGGATTTTCTCTCGTTTCTCTCTCAGGCTTCAGAGCGAGTTGGATCCACAGCTGCCTTGCTGCTCTCGTTGGCTGCCCTGACGTCTGTAACCTCGGCGGCTGTACCGTTCACTCCGCAGAGTCCTGTTTAGCACAGTCTGCTTTGGGCTTTTAGCGTTCCCTTTTCTCATGTCCACCTTTCTTACTTTCGGTCACTCTAAATGCTTGTTTTACAGTCGCTATCTTATATCCGAGTTTCAAGAAGAAGCAAGTCTATTGATATACCTGCTGCATCTGTTACTGTGGCTTTAAAAAAGCTCACATCTCAAATTCATCTTACTCGCTGAGTAAGCCACAGGAATCCTGGGGCTCCAGGCCTGTGGGTCTCTCTCGTGCTTTCTTGGTCAGGAACTAGGGGAGCCCCCAAGAACTGTTCCCATGTTAACGTAGCAGCCAGTGATCCCTAGCACCATCTACAGAGCGGAGCTTCGAATCCAGTATGAGTAAGGGCAGCCCTGAGGTTTCAGCAAATTTTTCCATCTCAGAGCTCATCCCAAGGAACGCAAGCTTCCTTGTCATTTCCCTGGCATTTTTTAGGGGGAGGTTGATGAAGGAGTAGAGACTTTCATTTCTACCCTCTTTTTACTAAGGATAACAACTTTATGTGAGGTACCAGTTTTTCTTTCTGTCCCAGAGGAACCATTAACTTGCACAGTCCTTGGTTTGTGAGATCATCTAATACCCCAGGCAGCCCAAGCTTCAGTTTGCAGGTTATTCTGTGGTTTTGAGTTTCCATTTCATTTTTGGCTCCTGGGATTTCCTCTTCCTTCTTTTGAGCTCGGTTGGACAGTTAGAGGGATGCTAGCTCTATTTTCTACTGCTTTTCCAGGTGTCTCCTAGCAGGAGGGTTTCATGTAATGCAATCCACCACATTTCCCAAAATGGAAATCCCATTAGCAGCTGCAACCTTACGTAAGACCATGGATGGTCCATGCGTAGCGCCAGCTTTATGTGCCACCTACACATACCTCCCTCTGCCACTTTTATCACCTACAACTGTGTGAGGGGCTCACAGGATCTGCACAGAGATGACTACCTAAGTGAGTTACCAGGGAAACATAGCAAAACTCACTGGTACTATGCTTTAGTGTAGGTAATTAGTATGTCCATGTGCTTTTGGTACAAAATACCACGGGCAGCAGAATTGTGTTGGGCTTAAGGCCACAAGCTCTAGACTAGTTATAAATTTGAATCATTCTACTTTCTGAACAGGGAAGCCTGAGCCAGTCATTTAACTCTGCATTTCCCAGTATGGGAAATAAGGATAATAGAGTCACACTCAGAGGGACACTGCTGGTCCCCAGGGCAACGTGTTCTGATATTTCCCACCCTTGGAGTTTAAGGGAAAAGACTAGGGCTAGCGAGGAGGATTGTCTTCCAGAAGCTCTCCTGTGCAAAATTGCGGGCTGGAGGGCCAAAATCCAGCGGGGTAGACATGCTCCTGCCTAGAGTGGGAAGGCAGAGGAGGATGGGGGAAAGTTTAAGGCCATCACCTTGTATCTGAAGAAAATTGGGGCCCAGGCCTCAAGGAGAGGAAAGAAGTAAGATTCTAAGAAATGCTCTGCAAAGTATGGACTCGGGTGAGGGTTGCTTAAAGTTTATGTGCTGCGGTCGAAAATTGAACTCCACAGCAGGGCAGCTTCCACAGGCCCAGAGGGGGCACCATTTCTTCCAGGGCCAGAGGGAAAATGAGCAAAGCACGCTGGCCTTCAGCCAAAGTACAGGTGGGGCTGGGGGAGGCACAAATACTTAACCTTCATCACTTCAGACCTCTGTGCATCTCTTAGGCTTCCACCTGTCTCCTATTACCTAATTTCCAAGTGGACAGTAGTTCCCATACAATTTCCTTAGGAACTTCTGATGCCAGAACATTGATTTACAAAGGAGACCAAAAGACCATCAGAGGCTGTAGAGCATTTTCAAAGGAAACGTGAGCTGGTAGAACAAGCAAAAATGTCTGTTGGATTGAAATGAACTTGTTACAGACCAGACTGGAAAAGATTTTGTAAAAGTATTTTAAAAACATTTGCCTACAGGACCTGTTATTTGTGCCATGAGGGCACCGCCAAGCAGGCACGAGAGGACTAGGATGGTCCTTGGGGTCTTTCCTCCTGGGACAGGGTGAGAGCCTGGAAAACATGCTTCTCACTCAACAAGGGCTTACTCAGCAGGCTGAGAGGCAGAGAGGCGATAATGGCCAGCTATCAGCAACACCCCATTTCATTCTGTTCAGAGATTACCAGCATTCGTAAGCACAATTAGCTACGAGCTTTGAGCAAGACTTGTGTAGCATTCAATTACATTCAGATAAAAACTTGCTATGAAATTAAACCGGTATTTTTATAGTTGAAGTCATTTTTTCTGCTATGTATATGTGGACACAAACGGAAAGCAGTTCACATAATTCACTGTGATCTGTATTTTCTCTATATAAACACACCGACTGTTGGTTTTTAACCTTTGCTTTGTGGGATGCCAAAGATTCTACACTAACGCCACGTGGAAGGCTGCCCGTTATGCCACCGAAGCCCAGCAGAGCTGGAAACCCCAGGCCTACGTTTTACAAAGCACATTTTGCTAAATATAGGGAGATAATCACAGACTCTGAGAGCTGCCCATCTGCAAAAGGATGGCCTTTGCCCAGGAGTGAGTTCCCCGTCGGAGAGGGACTGGCAGGAGTCACCCCCAGAAATGCTGCTGGAAGATCTCTGAGTTGAATATCGTGTTAAACAAAAGATCCCAGATCTAGTCTGAGCTTAAGATGCTGACTTCATTTTTGAAAAATAATGTCTGTGAGGTACATCGGAGTTTTTAATGAATTTCATGTATATAAATTCATTAATTTTTTGAAAAATGGAGGTCATTTTTTCCTGACTTTATAATAAGTGAAAATAAATATAAGCAATGTAGACTTGTGAACAAAGATGGCAGAACGGAGGCAAAATACAGACTTTCCTCCATCAACATCTAAAATATGAATAAGAAAATTGAAAACCACAAAAATAAAGAAAGGCAGTAGCAGCAAGCAGGTGAAGAAATGGTACAACCTAAGATCATTCACAGAAAAAGAGAAAGAGATAGAATTTTAGAAGGATGATCTAGTGTCCAACTCTTCCTCACCCCTGGAAGCTTGAATTACTAAAATCGTGAGAATTTCATCAAAAACTCCAAATTTTGAGAGAAGCAAAGTAGCAGTGCATATTGTTTCCCTTGAGTGCTTTTTGTTATCAAACAGGTTAATATGAAGACAAAATTAATGTAGTAAAGAAAGGACAAAGAAGAAATGTTGAAACAAGAGAATGATCTGAAAAAAAGGATATTTCAGTTCAACAGAAACACATCAAAGAGTAAAATAGCACCCTTGTAGATGATACGTAACTAAAAGCAGAAAAAAAAATAACAGACACAGCCCCAAATCAAAGTGTAGACTTGGCAGAACTGCTCCGAGATAAAGCCAGTGAATGCACGTAAAGAGCACAAACATCTCGGGGTGAGCTGGTGTCGGCAAAGCAGAGACTCTGCAGATGGGACAGACGAGATGTGCAGCATGGGGATTAGAGGAACTTTGGGGTGGAAACAGCATTTAAAGAGCTTTTCAAAGTGGGGTCCAGAGGCCATTAAGGGAAGAGGAGGACTTACGTACATTGCAAGATGACTCTTGGCGCCCTGGAGCCTGCAATCCCAGCACCCTGGGAAGCTGAGGCAGGAGGATTGTAAATGTAATCCCAGCCTGGGCAACTTAGCAACTTAGCCAGACCCTGTCTGAAAATAAAATAAAAATAAATAAATAAATAAATAAATAAAAGGAAGGAGGAAGGAGGAAAGGGAGGAAGGGAGGAGAGAAGAAAGGGAGGAGGGCTGGCAATGCAGTCCAGTGCAAAGGTCCTGGGTTCAGTTTAAAAAACAAACAAAAATGTTGCAGTCTGGAATGTGAGCCTGGGTCACCTCAGCCCTGACTGCTGGCACTCCAGTTAACCAGGTAATTACGCTGTGGCGCACATCGTGAGGTTACGACTCTTGTTTTATGGACGTTTCTATTCTGTTGTGCATTCTTTTCTTGACCGTCTGTTGTATTTCTCAGCTTCTCCATAGAAGCTTCCTACAAAGGGCGCTTCCTGCGCTGGAGGTCAGCTCTGCCCTCCCACATGAGCGCCCACTCTCCGTGCCTTCTCTGAAACATGGATGCAGAGCTGTTCGGACCTGGGTTTCCGTGCTGCAGGTCCCAGAATTGCAATCAAGCACTTTAACTTTCACAGTTTCCGAGTTTGAACGGATTGACAAAAAAAAGAAAATTGCCTTGACCAATGAAGAAATGAATCAGCAATCTGAAAGAGCATACTATAATCCCCCAAATAAATATTAAATGATAAACACAGGGACAGACCCTCATCACCTAATTGGATTTCAAGAACTTTGTTTAAAGAACATCCCTTGGCACAGAACATAAAAAGTAAAGGAAGCGACTCGAGTTGGCCACCAACTTGGATGAGCAACACTGAATGCCAGGGCACAGCAAGGCAGCATCTAGAACTTCCACCGGAGAGCGTCACTCAGAGCTGTTTCACCCATCTAAGACCCAGTTCAGTTAGAAGCCACAAGCCAGGTGTGGTGGCGCATGCCTGTAACCCCAGCACTCTGCAGGCTGAGGCAGGAGATTACTTCGAGTTCAAGGCCAGCCTGGGCTGCATAGTGAGTTCAACGCCAAAAAATAAAAAGTCACAGATAAATACTCCACCCATGAAAGAGCCTGGGAAATACACGCCCATGGGTCCTTCTTGGAAAAAAAAAAAAAAATTCGGTAATGAAACTGAGTTTAGAGGTAGAAAAAAAAGATAAAGCGGTTGGGAAAGAAGGCGGTTCTCCCGAGCACATAATTCACTGCACTTGGCAATGCTGGCATTGAGCAATCATGGAAGAGCTTCCACAGCAGAACGTGAACGTTTTAAACTATGATATTGTAAAAACTGTACTAGAGCCAACGTCGGGAGACGAGGGGTGGGGAGAGGAAGGGAGGTACGGGTCTGAGGGTTTACTCACCCTTCAGGAGTGATTTAACACCGTCTACAACTGAAACACATGGCTAAAAAATAACAACTCCAGCCTCTCCACATTTTTCATTTCTTTTCTTAACCTTATTTCCCCAGGAGAGAATTTGAAGGAAACACTGTCTCCTGTGGTAAGGAACATTGAACTAAAGGGCAGCAACTCCCTTAACTTTAGTTTTACTTTTCTACTGTTAAATTTAAGGAATATTAAATCTACTGCCTCACTAGTAGGTATAAATATGCTCACCTTTTCATTAAATATTTCCACCATGTCTGTTTCTCTTTCTATCTCTTTTGAGCACCCTCCTGCTTTGACTCATTAGCACTCTGATGCTCATTTGGGACCCATCTCTCTGCCAGGCAACTTGGGGGCCTCTGGGGCCTCTGAACCCGGCCCCCGCTCTGGGTGGCTTTGTTCGTCTGAGTGCGATCCCATTTGTCCTTGTCCCGGGACACAGTGTGGCTTCTTCTTGCCTAAACCTCTGAATGGCCTTGTGGGCCAGCCCAGGCCGGTGGTCTGTGAGGGAAGCTCCAGGGAAGGGAACTTTCCAGCTTTGACTATAAGAAGCTCGCTACCGGAAGTCCCATCCCGCCTTCTGGAGTTAGTAGTTTAACGGGGCAAAACCTGTGGCTACTGTGGACCTTCTGCCACCTCCAGTGAAGCCAGCTTGAGACTCGGGCATCCAGACATAGAAAGTCTTGGAGAACGAACCTGGATCAGCCCAACCCTGCGATCAACTCACTCCCCTGTGTTAAAGCAACCTGGCTCAGACTCCGTGTCTTTGGAGCTGAAAATGTCATCATCAATACATCTACTTAGGAAGATGTGAAATGTCACTCACCTAATGGTAGTCATTTTAGGTTGTTATAAAAGCAATTCTTGTATTTACTTTTCTCTATTGCTTAAATACTATACAATGAGCACATTTCATCTTTGAAAACAAAAAGATAGTTATTCCTATACATTAAATTCTTCAACAAAAATAATGGTCTTATTGTTAAAAAAAATCCAGATCTGCTCTCTGCTCCATGCTCTAAGCAGAATTAGAGAAAGAGACTGTTTCCTGCTTCAGAAAATATAACAAAATGATTTTAGAGATAGCAGACACCTTTTCCATGCTAAGAAATTTATGTATATTATTATAGGATCTAATTTTTGCAATATACCCATCCATTAGGTAGTATTATTTTTTCCACTTTATAGACAAATATCTCCTCCATTTTTCTGCAATGACCTGAAACTCCTTTGCAAAGAGACAAAGTCTTTAACAGTATTATTAAAGATCAAAGGTTTATAACCCACATCATGAAGGAAATTAATATCTGCCCATGAGTAATGCTACTCTAAGTGTGTGTAGATCTTCTCTGGGTTGGATGGCATGGATCCAACCACAGGCATGGATAGGGATCAGAAGACCAGACTCGTAGGACTCACAGGAGTTGGAAATGGCTTGTTTCCTGAACCTTGTGAAAAGGAAGACCTCACCCTGGGAGCAACCACCATTTAAAATTGGACCTCTGACACTTGAGAAATAACTTAGAAATATAAGTTCCAGGAAGGTGAGACGGAACCTACTTTTTCAGTGTTATATCCCTAGCACTCAATACAGTATCTAGCTGGGACAGAACAGGTGCTCTGTTAATACGACGGCACCTCGGTTCACGAACTTGATTCTTTCCACGGTTCTGGCTGCAAACCGAGTTGGATGAGAACTGAATCAAACTCAGTGGTCAGGTTCACTGTTGATCTTATGAGGAAAGTTGATTCATTCTCATCCGGTTTGGTTCATGACCAGAATCGTGGGGAGAATTAAGCTGGTGAACTGAGGTAGCACTGGGGAGGTGGGGGAAGAGGAGGAGGAGGAGGACAGGGTGGGAGAGAGGCAGGAATGGCTTCAATGGTGACACAGTTGCCATGATCTTTCTAAAAGCTAGTGGCAAAGAGTTAAAATCATTATATTACAGGGATACCTGCGTACCTGTGTTTATAGCAGCACATTTTACAGTAGCTAGATCTTGGAAACAGAGCATATGTTCATCAGCAGATGAATGGATAAGGAAAATGTATGTATACCCAGTGGAGTACTACACTGCCATAAAGAAAGACAAACTTGAAGCATTCATAGGTAACTGCATTCAACTTGAGAACAATGATAAGTGAAATAAGTCAGATGCACAAGCTCAAATATCACATGGTTTCTTATATGAGAAACTCACAATATATGTAAACATACAAATAAAGAGCAAAATAGAAGAAAGAAAAAGGGAAGAGGGAGAAGTTCAAATACTTCTCCAAATTACATAATTCATTCCTTCAAAAGTATTTTCATATGTATGTTAATTTACTTCATTTATGTTACAAGCTTATCTTAGATCACTGAAAAAAAGTTTTATGTTATTATCTATTTGTTCCTTTTTATTAGAATCTTTTTGATTTGTATCTTGTACTCTGAGTAACTACTTTGAAGATGAGACACAGTGTGATAACTGTGGTTATTCTCTTATAATTTTGTTATGAAATTTTATCTTATTTTTTCAAAAACTAAAAAAGATAACAGCGGGTGGCATCTTTCAAGATGTCCGTACACAGCTTGTTTTACCTCCCTTTTCCCTGCGGGTGGGCAGGAAGAGGCAGGATGGCAGGGGCTGGAACTGCTTTCTTGGACCGCGGAAAAGAATCTGCGTTTTGAGAATGACAAAGTAACAGATAGGATTCTCGTTAAGCCATGACTAAGGCATCCACGGGGTGGTGGTGGTGTGTGTGGGTGTCTATCTCAGTCAAGTTGCAGTATTTTGAGGTCTCTTTGAAACCATAGCTTGGCCCTTGACTGGGGCTACTTAAGTCCTGGATAATTCTAATACAAACCATAGTCAGCAGGATGCTAAAATCACCCACATTTCCTTAATGTGCTATTTTACATTGAGCAGTATTTGTTTTCTATAAATGTAACTGGCTTAAAGGGTTACACAAGCAAAGAGCCGAAGGACTTTGGCTTCTGGGTGGAGTTGGAGCCATGAGCTAACATATGCAGCGCTCAGTCTACCTCCCTGCTGGGTGTCTCTGGCTGGTGTTGACTCCTAGGCAGGAGCTCTCCGTGGCCCAAACCCTGATAGCTCCTGGCTCCCAGACCCTTGCAGACAGCAGCTGCAGTGAGGAATGGGTCACTCCGGGGTTCCCACAGAGACTGAGGGTAAATGCTCATCGGGTTACGTGTCCATTTCTGAGCCAATCACTGTGGCCCGTGATTCAGGCTTATAGCCATGAGTGAGGTGGGGTTGATCAGCTTCATCTAAGAAAGGCACTGAGAGTGGAAAAAAGGGACGCCCCAAAGAAAGCCACTGGTACCCTCACCAGGAAGAAATGGGCGACTGCTATAGGCAGCAGCTCCGAATGTCCACTATCACTTATGTATTCTCGGATTCAGTGAGTGGTTTTGAGCACTAAAAGTGTGCCTGGTTTTGCGTTAGGTTTTGAGGAGTACAAGAAATAGGCAAAACTCCCTGGCTTCTGTCCTAGTCCGCTGAGGCTGCTGTAACAATGTACCATAGACTGTTCAGTTCAGAACAACGAAAATTTACTACTAACACTTCTGGGGACTTAGAAATCCAGGGTCAGGTGCTAGCTTCTGACTCTGGCAAGGGCTGACTTCCGGACTCACAAGCAGTGCCTTCTCGCTGTGTCTGCCTATGGTGGAGGGTGCA